GAAAGGTCAGGCTGGAGTGGGTTTTGCGGGAAGAAGCAAGAAGGAAAAAATGGGAAAAGGTAGACAATCATAGCCACATTGGGAAGGTTATTAAATGCCACAGGAGGAATTTGGACTTAGTTCTGAAAGTATTATAGAGCGAAGATTTTTGTTGGGGGGGGGGCATGACATTTGAGTTCTGTGCTAGGTGTATTACATAACTTTTCTCATTAGATCCTCTCAACAGCTCTGTGAGATAGACCTATCCTTGTTTTACAGAAGAGATCTGCGTCCACATAAATATCTCAAACGAACCTCAACAAATTCTAAACCAAACTCAACCATCTTAACCACACACCTTTCCTTGTTCCCAGCACTGTGAGCGCCACCATCTTTCAGTCTAGTTGCAACTACAGAGATCTGTAAGGAAGCTCCTGCTCCTAGTCTGATGGAAAACTCAGGCCTGGACAGCAGCTGAGCAGCTGAGCAGCTGTGTGGTGAGGCCTGGAAAGCAGTGATGTGAACATGCCAGCCAACCAGCCAAGGGCTTTCCTGGAACACCAGTGTCACCTCCCACCTCCGGATCCTCTGTGTGTGGTTGTTTTGATCTGGTCCCCTTCCACCTCCTGGCTCTTGCTGCCATCCCTTATGTGTATATGGCCTTGCACGTGTCCTCTGTGGACTTGGGGTCTGTCTGTGAAGGCTGGTCTTCACAAACACTGGCTTGTATGCACCCTGCTGATAGGACCCTCCCTTGGCCTTCCCATTTGAGTTAATATGCTGGACATCCCACCCATATTCCGCTAGATTAGGTCAGACCACAGATGGCATCAGGTATATTATGGAATAACGTAGGACTTGATTTTCACACTCATTGAGGAGGCATTCGATTTTTTTTTAGCAGGTATATTGATGGCGATCAGATTTTTGGCTTTTGAAACATTACACTGCAGAGAGTGGATTTAAAGTGGCCATTGCAGAAACTCAGGTAAAATACAAAAGAGCTACAATTAGGAAAATGGTAGTGGAAATAGGAAGACAGAAATTCAGGAAATGGTCTCAGCAGTGAAACTAATAAATAAGTCTTGCTGTGGAGATGAGGTTCCCTTGAGCACCGGGGATGGTAGATGTTGTTATCTAAGGAAGAAGGAGGAAAGGTTTTTACAGGGAGAATTAACTGGGTTATATTTGAGTTGAGTAGATGGCACCTCTAACACATGTTCTAGTGAAATATGGGCCTAAAGTTCTGTTACTGACAGGAGACAGACATCTGGAAGTCATCCCATTTTATGTGTGAAGTAAAAGAACATGTGTGATGGAGACTTAAGAGACAGTGCACTGAGAGATCAGGAGTGAGCAGAGGAGAACGGAGAATAAGGAGAGACTAATTCCCGCAAAAGTCCAAGGAGACAGGTTTCAAGAGAATGAGAAAAGAAATGGTCAGGAGTGTCAAATGCTACAAAGGTAAGGAAGTATAATAGGACTAGATATAGGCAGTTAGGTCCGCAATTGGGAGGTCTTGGTGACCTCAGGGAGTTACTGTAGCACAGGATTGAGAGTGGAGGCAAAGACTGCAGGGAGTTTGGCAGTAGAAGAGTCTTTGTTGGGGAAGGTGGGGTCAAGGAGAGTCCCCACAGGAAGTTCCCTGGCAAAGTGGTGGGTCGAGTGTTGTTCACATGTATTGAACTTAATTGTATCTTTGAAAACAATTTTGAAGTTTCTCACATTGCCCTTACATTTTCCCTATAAAAATGTTTTGCAATGTCATCTTCCAACCCTATCTAATAGGCAACTAAAATTCAAACGTTTGTTTTAACCATACGCACTCACCCTGGGAAAATGCTGTGGGCACAGCAGTTACATTGAGTACACACACAACCACAGCTATATATCTGTGTCTTCTCTATGTCAGCATTTTGGAAGATCAGTTGAGTTTTTGTTTGTTTGTTTGTTTCTTTCTTTCTTAGGGTCTCACTGTCATCCAGGTTGGAGTGCAGTGGCATAATAGCCTCTGCCTCCCGGGTTCAAGCGATTCTCCCATCTCAGCCTCCTGAATAGGGAGGCAGAGTTTATTACAGGTGTACGCCACCACGTCTAGCTAAGTTTTGTATTTAGTAGAGATGGGTTTTCACCATGTTGCCAGGCTGGCCTCGAACTCCTTACTTCAAGTGATCCTCCCACCTCGACCTCCCAAAGTGCTGGAATTACAGGCATGAGCCACTGCACTTGGCTAGATAGTCTTATAATCTTATAAAACATTCATTGGCAGTGAGCTGTGCTAGACCTCGGGACAAGTGCTTTTCTTACATTGACTCATTTAATCCTCACAATAGTCCTGTGAGCCTGGCACTTTTTTTTTTTTTTTTTTAAACCCATTTTCTTTAGGAAGAAAGTAAGGAACAGAAAGATTCAGACTCAAGCCTACCAGTCATGAATCAGCATAACTATGACCATTTGAGTAAATGAGGCACACGCTCTTAGGATTCAGAGGTTCTGGTATTCCAGGTTATGCTAGCATCACATTTTCATGCCTTTAGTAGTAGACTATTTGGATTTAAATTTTGACGAGTAATCTAGATGAATTTATCTCACACTAAAAAGAATGTTCTTCACAGGAAGGTAAAACCTATATATTTAGACTGTGATAGACCTTCTGATCTTAACTACTTATTTAATGAGAAAGTGGAATTAGTTTAAATCCTGTATCTGATCACCTACCATGAGCCAGCACTGTCTTAACTTTACAGCGGAGAAGTGCCTGTGCCTGACACGTCGTTTACACTCAATAAACAATTTCTGAATAAATGAGTGCATGAATACAGTATGGTTTCTAACGCTAAGAAGCTTAGAGTTTAATAAGGGAGGCAGACCAGACAGCTGTGCTACAGGGACTGGGATATGAGCTTTATAAGGCAAGCTGGAGGTTGGTCCTGGCTAAGGGAGGAAGGGAGGGTAGTATGAGGTGAACCTTAAAGGGAAAAGAATTGTGAAGTGGGAGGCTGGGAAAGATTGGAAGAGAAAGACATTATGGGTGGGGTAAGTTCTTACGGGCACAAGTGAAGGTAAAAATGGATTGAGTACTCGAGAAACAGTGCACGTGTTGTGTTGAGACTGGATTATGGCAGTTTCTATGAGGGTGAAATGGTGTTCAAGTCTAGAAAAAGGAGGTTGAGGCTTTATAGTGGGGCCTTGAAATGTTATGGTGAAGGATCTGTGGTAGCCATTCAAATGTTTTGAATAGGGTAGCAAAGTTTTCAAAGACAGTGTGGCAGTGGTGTGAAGGATGGGTTGGAAAGGGGAGAAACCGGGCTAGGGGATTAAGACCCTTTCATAGCAATACTGGTGAGAAGTAGTGAGCACCTGGGTACTGGGAGGGTATCAAGGAGACAATAGTGAGATACTGTGGAAGATAAGACTGTAGACGTTTGGAGAAAGGAGGAGGAGTAATAGAAAGTTTTGAAATTGGTAGTCTGCACATGGCCAGCCAGGTTTCCCAACACTGTTTATTAAATGGAATCCTTTCCCCATTGCCTGTTTTTGTCTGGTTTTTCAAAGATCAGATGGTTGTAGATGTGTGGCCTTACTTCTGAGGCCTTTGTTCTGTTCCATTGGTCTATATCTCTGTTTTGGTACCAGTATCATGCCATTTTGATTACTGTAGCCTTGTAGTATAGTTTGAAATCAGGTAGCATGATGCCCCCATCTTTGTTCTTTTTGCTTAGGATTGCCTGGCTGTGCAGGCTCTTTTTTGGTTCCATATGAAGTTTAAGATGGTTTTTTCCAGTTCTGTGCAGAAGGTCAATGGTAGTTTGATGGGGATAGCATTGAATCTATAAATTACTTTGGGCAGTATGGCCATTTTCATGATAACTGATTCTTCCTAACCATGAGCATGGAATGTTTTTCCATCTATTTGTATCCTCTCTTATTTCCTTGAGCAGTGGTTTGTAGTTCTCCTTGAAGAGGTCCTTCACATTCCTTTGTTAGTTGTATTCCTAGGTATTTTATTCTCTTTGTAGCAGTTGTGAATGGGAGTTCACTCTTGATTTGGTTCTCTGTCTGTTATTGGTATATAGGAATGCTTATGATTTTTGCACATTGATTTTATATCCTGAGAGTTTGTTGAAGTTGCTTATCAGCTTAAGGAGATTTTGGGCTGAGACAATGGGGTCTTCTAAATATACAATCATGTCATCTGTAAATAGAGACAATTCGACTTCCTCTATTCCTAATGGAATACCCTTTATTTCTTTTTCTTGCCTGTTTTGCTCTGGCTAGAACTTCCTGTACTATGTTGAGTAGGAGTGGTGAGAGAGGTCACCCTTGTCTACTGCCAGTTTTCAAAGGGAATGCTTCCAGTTTTTGCCCATTCCGTACAATATTGGCTGTTGGTTTGTCATAAATAGCTTTTATTATACATTCCATCGATACCTAGTTTATTGAGTTTTTAGCATAAATGGCTGTTGAATTTCGTTGAAGGCCTTTTCTGCAGTTATTGAGATAATCATGTGGTTTTTGTCTTTGGTTCTGTTTATGTGATAGATCACAGTTACAGATTTGCATATGTTGAACCAGCCTTGCATCCCCGGGGATGAAGTCTACTTGATCGTGAGGGATAAGCCTTTTGATGTGCTGTTGCTTTCGGTTTGTCAGTATTTTACGGAAGATTTTTGCATGATGTTCCTCATGGATATTGACCTGAAATTTTCTTTTTTAGTTGTATCTCTGCCAGGTTTTGGTATTAGGATGATGTTGGTCTCATAAAATGGATTAGGGAAGATTATCTCTTTTTGTATTGTTTGGAATAATTTCAGAAGGAATGGTACCAGTTCCTCTTTGTACGTCTGGTAGAATATGGCTGTGAACCCGTCTGGACCTGGACTTTTTTTGGTTGGTAGGCTATTAATTGCTGTCTCTACTTCAGACCTTGTTATTGGTCTATTCAGGGATTCAGCTTCTTCCTGGTTTAGTCTTGGGAGGATGTAAGTGTCCACGAATGTATCCATTTCTTCTAGTTTTACTGGTTTATGTGCATATAGTTGTTTGTAGTAATCTCTGATAGTAGTTTGTATTTCTGTGGAATTGGTGGTAATATCCCCTCTATCATTTTTTGTTACAGCTATTCGATTCTTCTCTCTTTTCTTTTTTATTAGTCTGGCTAGTGGTCTATCTATTTTGTTGATCTTTTCAAAACACTGGCTCCTGGATTTATTGATTTTTTTTCTGAAGAGTTTTTTTGTGTCTCTATCTCCTTCATTTCTCCTCTGATCTGGGTTATTTCTTGTCTTCTGCCAGCTGTTGAATTTGTTTGATCTTGCTCTTCTAGCTCTTTAATTTTGACGATAGGGTGTCAATTTTAGATCTTTGCTCGCTTTTCATATGGGAGTTTATTACTATAAATTTCCCTCTAGACACTGCTTTAAATGTGTCCCAGAAATTCTGGTATGTTGTGTCTTCATTCTCATAGGTTTCGAAGAACATCTTTATTTCTGCCTTCGTTTCATTATTTATCCATTAATCATTCAGGAGCAGGTTGTTCAGTTTCCATGTAGTGTGCGGTTTTCAGTGAGTTCTTAATCCTGAGTTTTAATTTGATTGCACTGTGGTCTGAGAGTCTGGTTGTTATGATTTCTGTTCTTTTGCATTTGCTGAGGAGTGATTTACTTCCAATTTTGTGGTCAATTTTAGAGTAAGTGCAGTGTGGTGCTGAGAAGAATGTATATTCTGTGGATTTGGGGTGGAGAGTTCTGTAGATGTCTATTAGGTCCACTTGGTCCAGGTCTGCATTCAAGGCCTGGATATCTGTGTTAATTTTCTGTCTCATTGATCTAATATTGACAGTGGAGTGTTAAAGTCTCCCACTATTATTGTGTGGGAGTCTAAGTCTCTTTGTAGGTTGTTAAGAACTTCCTTTATGTATCTGGGTGCTCCTGTATTGGGTGCATACATATTTAGGATCGTTAGATCTTCTTGTTGTATTGATCCTTTTACCATTATATAATGCCCTTCTTTGTCTCTTTTGATCTTTGTTGGTTTAAAGTTTGTTGAATCTGGAAACCATCATTCTCAGCAAACTGACACAAGAAAAGAAAACCAAACACTGCATGTTCTCACTCGTAAGTGGATGTTGAACAATGAGAACACATGGACACAGGGAGGGAAACATCACACACTGGGGTCTGTTGTGGGATGGAGAGCTAGGGGAGGGTTAGCAGGGGATGGGGAGATTAGGGAGAGATAACATTAGGAGAAATACCTAATGTAGGTGAAAGGGGGATGGAGGCAGCAAACCACCATGGCATGTGTATACCTATGTAACAATCCTGCAAGTTCTGCACATGTATCCCAGAGCTTAAAGTAAAATTAAAATAGAAAAGAAAAGAAATTGGTAGTCCGAAGGAAAGAAAACATGGCAACTTGATGTCATGAATTTGAGTGTCAATTACTGCATTTCTGAGGGCCTTAAAAAACTGGCATATGATGAAAGGCATTGACTTTTTCTATTTGAAGGTTACTGTTTTGTTTTCAAGGAGAAATTCAGTTGTATTTAAATTTCAAACAGGTTGCTAGAGCACATCACGTCCAAGCAGAAAGCTACCTGGTGTACAACATCATGAGCAGTGGAGAGATTGAGTGCAGCAACACCTTGGAAGATGAGCTTGACCAGGCCTTACCCAGCCAGGCCTTCATTTACCGACCCATTAGACAGCGTGTTTACTCACTCCTATTGGAAAACTGTCAAGGTGAGAATTGGTTGGTCCCTCTTAGTAATGCTTCTATTTGGAGTTGAATCCTGAGAAACTGGCCAGATGAAATACAGTGCAGTCTTTTAGGACATGGAGACAGTTAAATGGGTTTTGTTTCCCTGTCAAATCTATAATTGAGAATAACACTGACATCTGTAAAAAATTAAGTATAAATGCCATGGGACATCTATATCTAATTAGCAGGCGGTTGATCAGTATGCATTAAAAGAAGAATGCATTATTTCTATAAAATACTTCTATAAAATACCATATAAAAAGGTATTTAGGCTTTTTTTAAAAAATGTGAAAAAACTTTCCTCCTGTAGGGGAGTGTAGGGTATGCCTATTATTAGAAGAAAACAATGTCTACTTAGTCTTCCCTCAAAATGTGATTTTTATAAAATAATTTTACAAAATCTAATACATCATATTTTTAAGTACAATTTTCCTCTAGAGTTTTTGTAATGAAATTTATGTTTTTTTTCTCGTCTGTATTTCCATTATGTACTTAGCGAAACAGTGAAAATGAGAGGAATTTTAACACTAAGGAGAAAGTTAACTCACCATTCAAAATAGTTTTGGGGGAAATTAGGAGTGTGGAAGAACACTTCAAATTAGAAACCAGAGATGCTTAATGTATTTAGTGACCTTCTATTTAAGTAAGGCCTTGTTCTTTTTAGACAGAAATCTTAGACAGGTGCTTTATGGTCTGTTTTGAGAGTGTGTTGATAAGAAACATAGTCTACACACTATTAACAGGATAAGAGATAGAAGGAGCAGGATGCCAGTGAAAGGGTGTCTGGTCCATTTGCCTAAACATTGTGGTTTCCAAACATGTCAATATTATTCTGTTGTTCCAGAAAGTGAACATTTACATAATCTAAAAGTGGTGACAGAATCATCTGATGAAAAAGTCATCATTATTATTTTTGGATGATGGGGCTCATGGGTAGTGGGGTTATTTAAATCTAGTTTTCATTAGATTCTTGTAGCACCCTCAGCGTGCCTTGCTTTCTCCCATACACACTGCAAGAGTTCACCTCTGTGACCTGAAGAAGAAGACACAAGAAAGATGTTTAAGCTGATTTACAAACAGAAATAAAGAACCTGTGTAATAAACTCTGGAGCCAAATATTATTTAAATTATTTTTAAAATTTCCTTTTCTATGGGCTCTCCACCCACATTCTTTCTTAACATGGATGTTTGCACATCGACTAATGATGGAAAAAAGAGATCTTCCTCATGAAAACATTTTTACATTAATAATATTGGAATTATTTTCAGACTATTTCATTAAATGAGATTAAACTACATAAAATTCACTAACCTAAATTTCATACTTTGTTTATGTAATGTATTTACGACCATATGGATAAATTAGATAACCACATAAACAGGAAAAACCATTCACACTGAGTTTGTCTTCACAGTTGATCTTTAGTTTCTTTCTTTCTCCTTCAAATTTTTGGCTTTCTGCATGAAGTTTACATTATTAAGATATGAAAATAAAATGCTGTTTTTGCTGATTTATATATGATGATAATAACCAAGCATATTGTGTGTTATTTGTTTGGCTTAGTTTATAATCCCATTTGTATTTGAAAGTGTTGTATATTTTGCAGTTGTTGAGTAGAGTGTTTTATAAATATCAGTAGTGTTAATAAGGTTATTCAAGTCTTACTGATTTTCTGTCTACTTGTTCTTAGTTCCTGAGAGAAAAGGGTTAAAAACTCCAGCTCTTATTTATCTGTTTATTCCTTCAGTTCTGTCAGTTTTTGCTTTAGACGTTTTGAAACTCTGTTGTTAGGTGCAAATGCATTGAGGACTCTTAGTTTCTTAATGAATCAACCCTTTTAACAGGACAGTTCACTTTTTTAAAAACATGGTGATATGCCTGTCCTAAAGTTGTCTGCTTTATAGTAATGTAGTCACTTCAGTACTCTTACTGTTAACGTTTGCATGATATGGTATTTTTTGCTATCCTTTTGCTTTTAAACTATTTCTTTACATCTAAAGTACATCTCTTTTAAAAGCAGCATGTCAAATGTCATAGTCTCTTTCTTTTAATTGCAATGTTCACACTGAATGTAACTTTTGGCATAATTAGTGCTCAGTCTTCCATTTTGCTCTTTGTTCTTTTTTTTCCCAACTTATTTTCTCATTTTCATACTTCATTTGGATTAGTTGAATAATTTTTAGCATTGTGTTTATGCACTCATTTGGATTATTAGATTTACCTTTTTTAAAAAACAAAACTGGTTGGTCTAGGTTTACAGTATCTATTAGATTGGTGCAAAAGTAATTGCGGTTTTTGAAATTACTTTTAATATTTTAACATCATCTATCAAATAATATATCATGTTACTTATAATATAAAAACCTTATAACTGTATGTTTTCATCCTCCCCAACATTTTTCCTATTATTTTATGTCTTGTACAAATGTATATTTTCTTAAATTTGAAATAATTACAGATTCACAGGAAGTTGCAAGAATAGTACATAGATTCCCATGTAACGTTCACTCAGATTCCTCCAAAGGTGACATATGGGTGTGGTATAGTATCAAAGCCAGAAAGTTCACATCAGTTACAATGTTAACTAAACTGCAGACCGTCTTCACTTGTTGTGCCAGTTTTTGCATGCATGCATTTATCTGTGTGGGCATGTAGGTCTGTGAAAGATCCTGCAACCATTACCACAGTCGAGATGCAGAGCTGCCTGTCACCACTCCCTCCATGTGCTTCTTGGTCCTGGTATTCTTTCTTCCCCCAGTTGCTGCCCTCTGGCAACTGCTAATCTGTTTTTCATCTCTCTGTTCTTGTTCATTTGAAAATGTTATATAAATGGCAGCATATATTATGTAACCCTTGGAGATTATGCATATGTTTTAAACCCTATAAAACATGATTTAAAATTTTTTAGTTTAAATTGGGAGTTGACACACTTTTTCTGTGAGGGGTCAGGTAGTAATAAATATTACAGGTTTTGAGGACCCCTCCCCTCAGCAAACAGTCCCTGTCACAGCTACCCAATCCTGCTATTGTTGTGCAAGAGCAGCCATAGACAATATGTAAATGAATGAGTGTGGCTATGTGCCAGTAAGCCTTTATTTAATTTTCGTATGTGACAAAATTTGAATTTTATTTATTTATTTATTTAGAGACAGTCTCACCCTGTTGCCCAGGCTAGAGTGCAGTGGTCACAGCTCACTGTGGCCTTCAACTCCAAGGCTGAAGCCTCAGCCTCTTGAGTAACTGAGATGACAGGCATGTGCACCCAGCTAATTAAAAAAAAATTTTTTGGCTGGGCGCGGTGGCTCACGCCTGTAATCCCAGCACTTTGGGAGGCCGAGGCGGGTGGATCACAAGGTCAAGAGATCGAGACCATCCTGGTCAACACGGTGAAACCCCGTCTCTACTAAAACTACAGAAAATCAGTTGGGCATGGTGGCACGTGCCTGTAATCCCAGCTACTCAGGAGGCTGAGGCAGGAGAATTGCCTGAACCCAGGAGGCGGAGGTTGCAGTGAGCCGAGATGGCGCCATTGCACTCCAGCCTGGGTAACAAGAGCGAAACTCC